TGTGTGTGTGTGTGTGTGTGTGTGTGTGTGTGTGTGTGTGTGTGTGTAGGGGGATCCTCATTTGAGGAAGGCAATCTCGATTTTGGGTCACATCTCTGCTTTGCGCAAGTCCTGGCTCAGACCCATCTCTATCCATATTCTCTTTCTCAGTCCCCTCGGCCACCATCCAATCAGCCCCCATCCTTTGGCAAGTCCGTCTAGTGAAGGCTTTGGAGGTGTCCAGGCAAGCCAAATCACCAAGATCATTGCAGCCAGGAACCTGGCTAAAGGAGAGAGGAAGACCCTGGACGCAACCACTGTGGGTGCGCCCTGCCAAGGAGGGCGGAGGGCGGAGCAGGAGAAGGGAGGGCGTGAGAGCGAGTGAGACACAAGAAAAGCTTGCGCGCCACCGCCCTCCTCGGGAGAGAGGCTGGAGTGAGGCTGAGCAGAGAACCGCATTTCAATGAGGACCAGCCCCGACGCATCCGTGCACTAGCGGTTGCAACCAGACGTCCGTGATCCGCAGCCCCAGCCGCGCCCAGCCCGGCGAGGACAGCTCCAGCAGCAGGCCACAGACAACCAACCCAGCGGCCACCCGCGACCGGTGCGTGCTTTGCCTGGGCTGGGGAAGGAGCGGGCAGGCCCCGCGGTGCCATCTGACCGCAACTCTGGTGGCCCCGGCCAAGGGTGGACCCCACTGGGCGGCAGCAGCCCCGCCTGCCTTTCCTCGAAAGGCGGCTGCCTGGGGTTGGCCAGTTTGGATCGGCCCGGGGCGTTGTGTGCCCGCGGCCTCGGGACTGCTGGCTCTTGCCTCTTTTGTCTGGTGCCATCCGCCTTTAAATAGGGAGTCTGGCAAGCTGGGCCCGGCAGGCTTTCCACAGCCTTGTTGTTGGAGATGGAGAGCCTAGCCGGGGCGGAGGAGCGGGGAGAGGCGCTTGTCATTGTCAGGACTGGCTGTGGAGCTAGGACCAAGTGGGCTAGGAAGGAGTGGCTGGGCCTGCCTTATTGTGTGTGTGTGCTGTGTGCGTTCCCGAGTGCCCAGGAGGGTGGCATGTGCCTGGTGATGAGGGCTACAGCGTGGGTGTTGCAAGTACCTTTTTGCATGGTCTCAAGTTCCTCCGGGGACAGCTAGGCAGCCTCGTGCACGAATTAGTACCTGCAGTGCTAAAAGCATGCAGAGAGGAAAAGACATTTTCCTCCTAGGGGGAGCGCACACACAGCACCGCATTGCCCCACAAAAGAGGCTGCTTTTTGAAAACCAGGTTTTGCGAGGCATCACCGCTGGATTTGGCAAGGAAATGCTTGTGGATGAGAGAAGCGAGAAGAAGGCTTCATTCAAACCGGCTCCCACTCTGACTGCACCTGTGAATGTGTGCCCAGGTTACTGTGCACATACTCTCAGCTGCCACACTGCAGGGTGTTCCGCAAAAGAAACGTGTCATGACTGTTCCTAAATATATCTATCGCCTTTCAATGAGAAAGGAAAGTAGGGCAGCATTCCAGGTATCGAATGTTGCATGGATGCAGGTTAGGAGGGATTTCAAGAGAGGTCATATGCTGGACAATTTAAAAGATGCTCACATCCTGTGATGTGTTGGCTTGGGGTGGTGCATGCACTCAGAAGATACATGCATGTGTCTTTTATTCTTGCATCTCTATTCACCTGGATCCTAATCCGACTGCTAAAATATGCCTTGGATTTCCAGATGTGATAATTAGGGTTTATGCTAGATTTGTGTGTGTGTGTGTGTGTGTGTGTGTGTGTGTGTGTGTGTGTGTGTGTGTATGTGTTTCCAAATTGCTGAAATGGCAGCTCATTCACAGAGAGAAAGGTGAACATAGATATTCCTCAGAATGGTGAGAAATCCCACAAAGAACAATGGTGCTTTTGGGGCTTTGTGATATTTATAGGAAATGTTCACATTCTTCTCCACCCATGATCTGTGGTCTCTGTGGCTGAGGATTGAGAGTCCCTTCTTGGTGCTAGTACACATGTATCCCAAGACCTCTGTCCACTCACAGTCTGTGAATGCTGGTCCAGCATATTCTAGCCAACATCTTCTACAGGAGTGCGACCCTGTGGAAGCCCAGAGAATTTTCTTCTGGAGTTCTTAGTTCACATGTATGACCACATCTCTGAAATCTGAGCCAGTGGAGGCAAGGAGAGAGCACGTGTTTTCATACCACACGCGGCTACCAGAAGACCCAAGTGTGTAGGGCGGGCTTTGACCTTCACTTAGCCGAAGCTGTGGCCTTGACAGAAATTTCACTTTGAGCTGAGTTCTGCTTTGCTGGCACCATCTGCACCTGCTCACTGATGGGAAGCGGGAGAGGTCATCTCTGCCCGGAGTGAACCCATGACTAAATCAACCAAACTCTTCTATGCTTTAAGTAGATTTATCTTCACTCTGTTTGGAGTCTTGTTCCTAAAAGTGTTCCCAGCTCAAACAACTGCTAACACTTCTTGGCAGCTGTGAACCGCTGAAGACCCCTGGAATTGGATTTTCACTGTCTCTGCTCACATCACTGTGCCACACTTTGCTAGGTCCCTGTTTATTTCCTCTTGTTTACATCCACTTGGGAGGAAGCTTCTAGGAATGGGAGAATGGTCAATGCCTTTCAAAAGGAAACAAACCCAGTCAAAAGCCACCTCCACCTTTGTCACTTAGGAAGTTCTGAAGCTTACTGAGTGGGCTCAACATGGCAGATTCCTCCACTCTCCCCTCCCTCTTTCATGTCCCCCTTCTCCCCTCCCCCCTTTTCATCTAACTCCTTCCCATCCTCAACCCACACACCTTTTCGAAAACAGATTACTTAACAAATATATGGGCAAAGTAGGAGCGGGTACCAATATCAGGGCAGAATTACGATTCTGTAATGCAGCCAAGTCTACAGGATAGATCCCAGTGGTGACTGTTTTGAAGTTACTTTACTTCAAAACCAACAAAACCACTTCACAGCTGGTAGTGTTTTAATAAAGATGCAAAACTAGATTGTGATTGATTGTTTGAGACCTGAGAGCCAGTTTTTCTGTTTGAAGGAGAGATGCACTGAACTCACACTGAGGACTTAAATCCCACTGTGCTCCCTTTGTGCCCCCAGACCTCCCAGTGGACTGTGCAACACAAGGGCCCCTGGTTAGTTATGTGTCAAGCACAAAGTCACTGAGCTAGACAGATGTGATAGCCCGAAACCTCATGCTTCACTTGGAACCAGGGCCTAGCGTCGTAGACCTGGGGCAAACGAAACTTGAAAATCTAACTCCCTCAACTGTAACTTGGAGACTCTGGGTAAATCCAGTTTTCTAGACCTTGCTTTGATGGGACTGACTGACTTCTGTGAGTTTCAGAAGAGGTTTTTGTTTGTGTTGCTTTTAGAGACATTAAATAACTGCTGGCTGAATCCTAGGGTCACCAATACTGTTTTCTTTTTCTTCATTTCCGGACTTCGAATTCTCTAACTTAACTATGTGGCTGAAGATGGCCCACCATGCTCAGTTTATCACAAATTTTAAATTAAATTGACTTACCGAACTGATACGTTAGTTTTTATGTAAACCAATTCTGAATGGCTCGGGGGTTAGTTCGCTGAACATGAAGGGGTAGTCACAAGAATACTCCGTAGTTTTGTTGAGTCTGGGGAAACTTTCCATCGGTGACTTGGGAAGTACAAGGGAGAGCTTGGTTCTTCCTTTGTACGTCTATCTCACTTACATGCTATTTAAGCGTGCCTGGAATTTTATCATAGAAAGTGTATCCTTTTGACTGAGGCCTTTTCCACTCTCCAGACTGTTGGGTTGAAACTGATCCTACTGCAAGGAGGACCAGTCTTTATCAGTTACCTAGCAAGAATGGCTTTATCCAATAAGCATCTTGCTGACAGCAAGACCCCATCGAAAGCAGAATGTGTGGCAGGACAGATCCCTTTTCCAGAGGCTCATGGGATGGCAGTCAGGTGCCTCCGTTGCAAGAAGGGGTAGGCAATGGCTCTGTGCCAGGGTCAGGAATAAAAAGCATACTTTATTTAAATAAATCAATGCTCATTACATGCAAACTTTGCATTTATTAGTACCCGATATGAATGATGAAATAGGCACTATTCTTATTCCTGTTTCTGGCTGAGTTTTACAGGTGCCAATCAAGTCGATAGCTCAGGTTATATAGTTAATAATGGGTCAAGTGTGTTCAACAGCCCCTCTCTTCCTTTCCCCTCCACCGTCTTTCTGTAATTCTCTTTTTAAAACCCAGTATTATTGTTATTGTTATTATTTTACTAAGCACAAGCCAAAGGTCTGGAGTGAAGTCACGTTTTAGCATATGGGATACGTGCTTATGTTCAAAGTCTTTTTTAAAAGGAGATAGAACCTCCAGGCGGGTTTAATTATTTTCTCTACCTGGCCATAAGGAGCACACAGAGGTTAGAGCTCTTCCAGTCTGACCATGAAATGCTAACCCCTCCATTTCCCCACCGTGCTCGGCATATGAAAGCTCACTTTTTCTTCTTGCCGGTGGGACTGGCACACTATCTGGGCACAGCTCATATGAACCTTATAGCCGTGCAAAGCTGGGGTGCGGGAGTGGGGGAGAATGTTCCTGGCTGAACTATCTCTCCGCCGTTATTACTTGAGGAAATGTGAGGGAATATTCCAGCCCCCAGTTTCTCTGCTTAGAAACATGCAGGTGACCCCTTGAGAGGATGTGACTGCAGCCCGTGGGGTGGTAGGCAGACAGCAGCGGGAGCTGTGTATAAGCAAACTGTGACTGAGTAATAGGCTGTTAACACGGAGATCTGCTTTTTTCTATTCCTTGCTTATCCTCCTCCTCCTTCTCTCCCACTCCACAACCCAAATACATCACCAGCCATTGCAGTGTTTCCTCCCAGCTGCTCTCAGAGCCTCTCCACCCAAGATCGTCAGGTAACCAGGTCTGTGTCTCTTTCTGGGGTTCGCAGGTTCCACACACAAGCCAGTCATGTCGTTTGGCAGAGATATGGAGTTGGAGCATTTTGATGAACGGGACAAGGCGCAGAGGTACAGCAGGGGGTCCCGGGTGAACGGTCTGCCCAGTCCCACACACAGCGCCCACTGCAGCTTCTACCGCACGCGCACACTGCAGACGCTCAGCTCCGAGAAGAAAGCCAAGAAGGTTCGATTCTACAGAAATGGCGACCGCTACTTCAAAGGGATTGTGTACGCCATCTCCCCAGACCGCTTCCGATCCTTCGAGGCCCTGCTGGCTGATTTGACCCGAACTCTCTCGGATAACGTGAATTTGCCCCAGGGGGTGAGAACCATCTATACCATCGATGGAGTGAAGAAGGTCTCCAGCCTGGACCAGCTGGTGGAAGGTGAGTCTTTGAGAACCTCTGGGGACCCTGAAGGCAACTGAGGGTCACTTGTCTGTTAGCCCATGGCTAGGAACCACTTAATGCTTAACATGTTTAAGTTTCTGCTGCATAAAAACGAAAAGAAAGTGGATGGTATTCAGCCAGGTAGCTAGCTCCTAATAACAGGCAGAAGGAAAATGTATCAAACCCCAAAGCATCCTGTCTGCTTTCTCAAACCTAGGTCCTGTTAATCTTTAAAGTTTGTTTTCATGTCTTCACTTGCTTAGTTCAGGAGTGTTTCTAAACACCAACTGAACTAGTGTGTCATGATGTCCAAAAGGTCTCAAAATGAGGATATAAAATTTTAGAATGGAGAGGGACTTAGGAAAGATACAAAATCCATTCAGTTTATCACTGAAGACCCAAGACCAGAAAACTCAAATAGTATGTCTATGGTTATATGATAAGTTAGTGGTGACCACTGAAGCAAAAATGGGGTCTTCTAACAATACTTTCCACTGGGTGCCTCCTGGGGAGGGTTATTATCTTCCGGCCGGTGGCATTTGAGAACAAGAAGAAATTAGTCTGTTCATACTTTTTAAAAATCCAGTTCATTCTAACAGATAATCTGTTGTGGATGAGACTTGGCTCATCATCATTTGACCAAGGCATGAAGTCTTTCATTGCTGTAGAAATCGTAACCAATTTTAATGATTTGGGGTGCAATAACTGGTACTGAGTATCCCTAAGAGTCCTTTAGAGAGAGAGGTCTTTCTGAGCTTAAGTTTTGAAGGTGAGGTTGAAGTAGTTGGCATCTTCAGATCAAATGCAGCTTACTGTCGTTCTGAATTCATCCTTTTTCCCAGCAGGATTTGGCCAGGTCCCGCTGTCCAGCTGGGTCCTGGACTTGTATAGGAAGCAGGGAGCATTCCATCCTGCCTGATTGGCATCCAGGCTTGCAGCCACATGGCTGCATACAGTCAGAGCCCCCTTGTCTTCCTCTGTAGCTGGGGCTTCTGTGTCCCGCCCCCTTCCCCTGGTCCCTCTGCAGGAGTGCCAGTCCAGGCACAGTATGACTGGACACCAACTGGTGTGGAGCAGCCTAAGCTTTGTGTCTTTACTTTACGGGAATTCACATCTCTTTGGTGGCTTGTCACCCTGCCAAGATGCCTGTAGCCTTGGCACTTTTCCTTCTATTCAGAGGTTGGAACTTCTAGCAAATTAAAGGGGAAGACTGACAACGAAATCTCTCTGTGTCAACTTTGATTTTTGTGCCATGTCCTCTGTATGACCTTGGTAAATACAAGAAAAAGTCAAACATTTGGTGGCGTTTCCCAAGCACTCTGTAGCAAGATCAGATGAGGCGGGTGTCTGACCTGTCACCAAGACATCCTGTGTGGGGTAGTGGTGTGGTAGAAAAATGTGCTTAGATCTCAGCATGCCCTCGGACAGCTGGGGGGCTGATGCCTCGTTCTGCCCTAGAGTCACAGCTTACATCTAGGCATCTCAAAGACAAAGGTACTTCTGGGTTTTTTGCTCAAAATTGGCCTGGACTCACCATTTACATTGATCAAAGAGTGGCCATGAGACGTGGCTGGTGATAGTACTGCCTTCCTAGCAATGACATGGCTGGTCACCAGCATCTCCCCTCACTCTCTGGCTTATTTTACCATAATATAATGCCTGCACTGAGCTATTGCTGCCTTGGTCGAAGACAGTTACAATAGCTGAAGTAACTGAGCGTGTGTCCAGCCCTAGTCGGAGCCCTCTTGAATACATAAGTCCTTGTGATTCCCACAGTGCTTCTGAGAGGGCAACATCACACAGCAGGAAATAGTAGAGGTAGGATTTGAACTCAGAAAAGTAGGCACCGAGATGCATTATGCTGTGACTTTAGCTCTTGCAAAAGGCACTTTGGTGCTTTTTCAGTATGTTCATTGTCTTCTGATGCACTGGGAAGGCAGACATTCAGTACAATTTATTCTAGAAACCACCTGCTCCTGTGCCCAGCAGTTGATCTCAATGAATATTTTTCTTCTACTACTTCTTGAAAAACTTTTTTTCCAAGTGTGAAGCACAGTTAATAAAAACTCAGAGATAAATATTGGGGTTCAACCTGAAGACCAGAAAATTAATTCTTACTTTGAACTCAGTCCAAAAATGGTGATCCTGCCTCCAAGAAACCTCAGAATGAGATCCTGACCTAGAGCTGTCTTCTTTTATAATTCTCTCTAGCTCTAGGATTAAGGGCATGCACCACTACCGCCTGGTTTCTATGGCAAGATATTGTGGCTATGGGGATTAAGAGTATATGCCATGGTGGTTACTGGGATTAAAGGTGGATGCTATTACCTCCTGGTCTGTAAGGCTGGCCTGTTTGGCTGTTTTACTCTTCTGATCCTCAGGCAAGCTTTATTTATTAAAATAAAAATGAAATTCCACTGCAAAAATGTTTTTATTAGGCACATAATTCTAAAATTAGAAACTGTTGATCTCAGAAATAGGCATTTTTTTAAAAAAATAGTTATTTTAAATGCATGAGTGTTTTATCTGCATGTATGTATGTGTACCATGTATGAGCCATGCCTACAGAGGCCAGAAGAGGGTGTTGGATACCCTGAAACTGAAGATATAGATGGTTGTGAGACACCATGTGAGTGTAGAGACCTGAACCTGAGTCCCCTGAAAGAGCAGTCAGTGCTCTTAACCACTGAGCTGTCTTTACAGCTCCCAAAGTCACCTTTTGATTTTCCCTCAACACTTTCCCCACAGCCAATATAGAGCAACTGCTGATGGACAATTCTGATGTTTAAAACTGTTTTGAATTTTTTTTAAAAAATATACCTTTTTTTTCTTCCAGTTGAATATCTTTAGTGTCTCGTGTGAGTCTGCATATTTTTTGAATTTTTAGTTAAAACATTTTTATTCATAATACTGACAATTAGTGTGCAGCTGCACTTAGTGCTTAAATAGCTAGCAATTCATTGATATTTGTTTTTTTGTCTATTACATTTTTTGCTTAGCCCATTAAAATGCAAAACATTGCTTCATCCTCATTAGGCCCATATCCCTCACTTCCCAAGCTAATTTATGCAAACATCAGTTCGTGATGTCAGTTTTCTATTTTCCCTCCCAGCACGACAAAGTTTGAGTTTTAATTTAAATCCCTTTAGTCAGTGTAGTGCGAGTGTGTTTGGCTTGCAATTACTTTTTAAAGTTTGTTCTTTCTCACTTGATCTCAGGCTAAAAATTCCAAGTAACTATGACAAATGTGGGCTTTATTTATAAATCGTATGGACACTTTCTCTGTTTTATTATTAGACTCTGATCATTATGCATAAGTGTGCTCCAGGCACACTGATAGATTCTGAGCTCAATTTGGTTCTGAACTCAAATTATATAAGAAGCGATTGACTGTGTGTTTGTACAAACAAGTGACTGTGTGCCTGTCTGTGTCTGTATTATATGGGCACGCTGACACGAGCGTACACACATCTACTTAAGGGTGCACTGAAGGTGACATTCCCAAGGATGTACCTTCACAAATATGTTTTCACAAGCTGTGACGCTCACCGAGGACAGCTGTCCTGCAGCCCTCTTTCGGCAGTGGCTCACCTGGGGTGTGACCTCCTTCCCCAGTTCTGAGCCATTTTGGTTCTACTTTGGGGATACAGCTGTTGTGGAGAAAACAGAGTACCACACCTAAATCCTTCAGACTCTTAAAAGAGAGATGTGGCAGGAGCCTGAACAATGGTTGGCTGATTCCTTCCCCTGTATTTCTAGGGGTAGGAGGACCAGAACTTTTTCATCTCAGGATACAAATGAAGCAACTACTAAGTCCATGAACATCAATAAGTCCGAGCTTGTTGGATCAGAACTGTTAGAAACAGTGGGGTCCCACCCCTTCCTTCATTCCCCCACGTGTCTTTGCGCAAGTTGCCTAACTACATGGCTAGAGGAAGGACTTTGTCCAATTCACTGCATTTCACCTAGCAGTTAAGGGATTTCTCGACTGGCCTCACTTTAATTTGTCTGTCTTTCAGGATGGTTTTCCTCCTATCTTGGTGTAGCTTCTTTGCTCTATGTAGCTCGTGTAATTTCACTGGGCCTCCCTCTGACGTGTCAAATAATTTAAAAATTAACTTCTGTGGATCTGTAAAGCAGGCTTTTCCATGAAAGTCCCCAGTGTGTAGTAGTTGTGTGATTTCTTTATTTTCAGTCCTTTCTTAGTGTTACTAAACATATTACATCTCCATGTAATCAACCCAGAATGGTAACTTTAAATGCATCCAGTTCTGCACCTTGCTTTTCACTTAGTTTTAGTACCTTGGGGACCCTTTCCTATTAGTAACATTTTGAACAAGTGTGTCCTTTTATTTAGTTAACGCTATTCCTTGTATGGATGGACCTTAGTTTAGTTAACCAGTCTCCTCTTGATGAGGTTCTAAGATATGTGCAACCATTTGATGTTACGAATAGAATTACAATGAGCACACTTGGAAATATGTGGCCCGTCCATGTGAGTGGCTGATTTTAGGAAGACTGCCTCAAACACTGTTGCATGTTGGTAACAAACGACCAGAAAATTCTTGCCCACCAAGGTGGTTCCAGTTTCCGCTCTGACCACCTTCAAGGACATGATGTTATCAAATATCTTGTCATTTTCCTGTATGTCAAGAAAACACTACTATCTTGTTATGGTTTTAATTTCCATCATTTCATGTGTTTAAGGGGTATTTATATATTTTGCTATGCCTTTTGCTTTGTACTTTTTATCATTTTTCTGCCACATTGGAGTCTTTATTGACATAGGATCTATTTTTCTTTATAAAATATTATAAAGAAATTTAATGTGTTTTTTTCTGTGTTCATCTTAACCTATTGGCTTTGTTGATTGTATTTTCTGTCATGTAGATTTATACAAAAGTTTATATAATCAATATGCTAGTCTTTCAATTTATGGCTCTATTCTCATGTCTGCTGTGTGCACTGGGTTCAAGAAGTCATTTCTCCACATTTTC